ATTGATAAAAGTACAACGAAATGATTTTTAGTTATTTAGCTGATCAGGAGGAACGGCCAGACAAGAGAAGAAAGGAATATTTCAATTTCACGAAACATCCTCCTAACTGGTAAATCAAGAAAATCTTGATAAACGGCTTAATAGCCCTTCTAGTAGCATATGATATAGTAGTAAATACTTGATAACTTTGCGTCATACTTTCAAATAATCCACTATGTACATAAAAAAAGATTAATTTCCTTTGAAAACTGACTAACTACATATATTGCTCTCTAAATTTTGTTTAAAAATGTCTAGTTATTCATATTTCACCAAAACTTGAGGAAAATGTCTACGGACTGTTACTTATTGTTTGGAGGAAATAATAAAAAATGAAGTATTTTAGCCTGAAATTTCACCGTATATTCATCCAGCAAGAGTTGCAAAACGTGCCTGTTTCTATTGAAACTATTGTGCAAGCTTTGGAGTTGATGATTGCGGAATTCGGGAGTAAAACATATGAATGCTGGATTGATTATTGCGAGGTTATGTTAAAATATCAGCCTACTGCCCTTCCAACAATTCATAGAGTGAGTCAATTTTTTTGCACCTGTATAATGACTGACATTGTTATTTACGAAAGTACAAGAAAAAATTGATAAATATTATATTAACTTGTTTTATCAAAGAATGCCCATCATATTTCACTTAAATGTGACTGATATGTTTATTCTCATCGTCTTACCGTAGCTGTGTATTTTAAATTTTTCGGTCGCATCATATATGAGCCTAACATTCTTGAGTAGGTGAATGCGATTTCACTACTTCGCAGCATGCTTTTTTAAAATGCTATAAATAGTTCTATCCAATGAGGTGTAGGATTCAAGTCATTTTGATTAATAACATAACTTTCAATTTAATAAGTGCATGCTACACTCTTGTATTTTTAGCGCGCTGTAGTTTCTGTACCACCGGACGAAGTAGAGTTGTTCTTGACAACTTATGGTGATCTACTTCACAATTCATGAAACTCTGGTCCTATTGTAATCACCAACAACATATATTAATTCATTTTTAGTACTAATGAATTAAATAAATGATTGAAATGTTGCTGGATTAGCTAGTAGGACGCTGATGTTAACTACTTTAATACTTGAAAGGTGCTATGAATTTATAGTTTAGAGCAAGTATTGAATGAGCAGCATTTGCTCAGTAGTTAGTAAGTATCATTTGACGAATTACACTGGTGTTAAAAAAGTTCTGAGCTATATTTGTTATTTGCTTTACGATCGTTAATAATGTCTTACCGCTTGATATTGAGTTATCTGATTGATGTAAAGTTGTTCCGCAAATGGTATAAATGTAAACTTTCTGCACATATCTCAAAGAAAAAAGTAATCAGTGAAACGAAAATTAAAGTGTTTTCATGGAAAATTTTCGCGGTATTTCTGATTTCTAAAATCACATTAATGATCTTCATTAATGAATTATCACAGCCAGAAAATTATGGCAGAAGAAGGCGACAAAATTTATCTAGATTTCAATTTCCATTTGGGTGCATAAAATATGTAGACACAATGCAGGTAAGGAGGGTGAAAGTGTGTTGGAAACGAAAAGTTGCGTGTGAAATGCGCTCGAAGTATGAGGTAGAGTACATGCAAATGTTTTAGAAACCTTGCTGTAAAAAATGCCAGATTCATAACGGGATATGGTTCAAAGTAATGCAGTAGGTGCGTTTTTGTTCCTACGTGATATATGCAAAAAAATAACCCAGTTTGACACTATCCTACATTTCTTGAAAATGGCGTTTCCCTCAAAGAATACCCTTCTCGATAACAATAATATTTTTGTACACGGTATTCAGCATTAGAAATTTATTCTACAGTGAAAGCAGTAGAAACGAGCTCTTCTGGATTTGCACTGACTCACATACCCAAACTATTGCAGTTCGAGTGATTTTCGATGCGATTCATGAGGCATGTCAGAAGATCAGATGTGAGAAGGGAACTTCACTCGAATCTGTAGTGTTTGAATATTTAACAATGTATACAAGCAGTTCTGTGTTAAATTCTTGAATAGGATTCCATGTAAATGTGGTAATTACCCATGTTCTTTTGAAAATGCTAGATATTTGCATCGGTCCGACATATTTGGAACTGTTGCAGTCTAAATCCCATACTTATGAGCTAATTTATACAAAAATACCAGACGATTAGATCTAAATTTCTGTTGCCCAATAAATGGTATGCATTCTAATTTAGCAACGTCACACGTAGCTTTCACTTGCTTGTTCTGAAATGAAGTCATTAATCGACGAATACTTGAGCATTTGCTTCATTTCTCGTGCTGCTTGTATGACTTTATGACATGAATTAATCCTGAAAGACAAACGGAAGATATTGATCGTTAGAAATATTTCCAATATGAACCGCAGACTTTTACTTTTCATCCAAACGTGAACCTTGCCTCCTACTAGTAAGCGTAAGAGTTATCAGAAAAGCGTACACCCGCCATATTTCTATGCATAATCACAACGAGCAAAATTCGTTTGCTCTTTTGCTATCCACGTATACAATAAGTCCCACCCCCAATAATTGCGAAATATGTAACCGAGTGACGAGAAATTGCGAGATATTGCAACAGGATATACCTACAAGAAGACATACTCTTTTCTGATTACTATTCTTGCCTCGTCCTTCTCTATCACTGTCACTCTCGCACTCTCTTTTCTCGTCCTCTTTGTTTTCCCGCCAGTTTAATCTCTATCTTCTTTTCGCTTCTTCTCACTTCTTTCCTTCCCAATTTGTCACAGTTGTTATTCTATTCCCACGTCTTATACGGAGGTGGGAGTACGGTCGTTCCACGTACTCATTTTTGCCGGCTACAGTTATTCATTCAAGAATCCGCTTCTCTCAATAAGCTACTCTATAATATATATGTTTGACCTCAGATGTTAATCTTTCATTCTTGCTTTATTTGTTTTCACCCATTACACTCTAAATTTGCTTCTGATACAATTGTTCACAGTCATCTTTGTCTAAGATTGACCTATTATATCCAGCATTACTGTTATGTTATCAGCAATTCTCTCTGTAATTGTCATAGTGATAATTTTGATAATTACTAAGCTAATAATCATAGCAGCAATATCTTTTTACACTCTTGTTATTCTAGAAACCAGCACCTTCTTGTCCATCAGCACTTCTAGAAACCTTCTTCTCCATAAGCAGTGTGAAAGCAATTCTAAATTACACAAACCACTTCTGGGTTTGATTCTAAGCAAATCTAATAATCTGTATTACATTTCTGAGTTTGTCATTGCTCTTTGCGTGAAAGCAGAATCATACATTTTAAGTTGCCTAGATACATGAATAGTGATTTTTATATTGTTTCTGTTCTTCTTTATCTGAATTGATTTGTTAATTTAAAGTTATCTGCAATTCTCTCTTCAGTCGTTAATATACGTCCACAGTATCCCTTGATATTCTCTTCAATATTAATGACTTATTTTGTGATTTTTCGATTCAGATTTCTCTACTTGATTAGCTGTTACATTTTTGTATTGTATTCAGTATTAGAAATTTAACCGTGGAAAAACCCAATATGAGGAATTTCTAGTATTTTTAGTCATATGTGGTTTAAGCACTTGTTATACAGCAATAAGTTCCTATTTAGAGAATAACATTGTAGAGAGGGAGATTACAGCTAGTGGTATTTTCCACGAAACAGATCGACGTGATGGAAGATTTTAATATAATTATGTCAATGATGTAGGACATTTTTTAACTTTAACTTTGATATATCGTTTCTGGAATATTGGGGATTGACATCGTAATTTAGTTTTAATTTAGGTTTTCGTCTACTTTTCGGATTCTAAAAATGAGAAGCAAAAAATATGGATAATCAGTTTTGGTGAAAGATTAAAGTAGATTTTGATGTAAACATATCTCATTTTAAAAATACTATTCACTGCATGGCATTTTTCAAATTAAAAGAACTAAGCTTAACTTTCTGAGGGAAAACAAAATTTTAGAAGGCACGAACATCGAATGAGTTGTCTTCGTGATCGGCGATTGTCTTCGGAATCAGTCAGTTCTAGATGTGCTCCACATATTGATGATTTCATCTTTGATCTCTATCAAAATCCAGAAACTGAAAAGTTATCGTTATCTACGCTTCTCAAGGTTTTTTAGTTTTCACATTTACATGAATATAAAGACAAATAAAATTTTTGCTAACTGATTGGATTATTATTTACTTACTATGCAAATTTGTGAATATAGTACATAAAATCTTTTATCTAGTTTTATTTAAGAATCATAGTGCATATATATGATTATACTGGAAGACATGATAAGGATGCTTCGATGTATCCATCATCCATTTGAGACACAAGAAATATGATCTGAAAGCATTCCTACGCATGCGGAGCCATTCTGTTCAAGAAATGGTCATAAATGTGAACTTGGAAATCGTAATCGATACGAGCATTAAAATACCTATAAAGATAAGTTCGGATCGATCGAATGTCATAGTTCACGATAAGAGGAGACTTGAAGCTGGCATCATTAGTTTGAGCACGTTGATAGCAGTCATAGCTGAGTAGAAGAGCTATTTCTTCTGGTTATAGAGATTAGCTCGGAACAGAGCTGAAGTATAGAAGGAAAATAATGACATCTGATGGTTGGCGTAGGATGGGCTAATAACAAACTTACTTTACGCTACAGGAAGGGGATTAGTCTGATCACGTTGGGTCATATACTAGGATGCTTCTCATTGTATCACTGGAGTAGATTCGACCAGGATGAAGTGGCGGAAAGCAATACGTCAAAACAAGAGGACTTACCGCGAGAGTGCCGAAAATTGTTCATCTCAATACTTATAATGTAATAAGATAATCCCTCTGTGCTTTGAACGTTTAATCATATAACCATTCAGTCACTCAATGAATCAGGAATAAGGCATGATGACCCTCGATTAGCTGACTTTTTACAAGCAATAAGGGAAGAAGACAAAAAGCATTTCAATCCAGATTCAATTATTGCTGCACCAATCACAGAACATTTGGATCGTGAAATGTTTAAAAGGTGTCTTTTTTTCTTTCATTTTTTTATTCTGCAAGTAATTGTTTGTTGTGATTTTAATATTAATGATTACATTAATAATAATTCGTTTCAGCTCTCCTCAAAAAAATTAGATAAAGCTAAAATTTATAATTAATTTAGATGTGTGGGTGATGCGATAGGAATAATTTCAAAGGCACTAAAAAAGCAACTCGTGATTCCAGATTGGCTAGCGTTTAGCACAATTGTTGGGGAAGTTTTTGATTCATGTACTGATGTGAATGAGGGACATGTTAGTCTTTTTTCATTTGATATGTACGTCTCAGCCTTGCTATCACTTTAAGAATCTATTAATTCTTAATTCTCATTTAATAATCTTAATCTATAAAAATCTAGCTCTTGTAATAAATTTGCCGTAAATGTGGAAAGCAGCATCAATTCCTTTCATAATTAACACAATGTAATTTTAATTATTACATATTTATAGCGCTCTTTGTCTCATCTTTTCAGCGAATTTAATAGAGATTTTAATCTTGATTAGTGACTCTAAGTTAATAAGGATTAGCCAACTTGTATTTTCATATCGGAAGTAGGACCTACAATTATGGATTTTTTATATTCAGTAGTTAATTCAAAAGCCGTTGATCTAGTCAAATTATCTTTGTATGCTGTGTTGCATATTCCAATAATCAAGTCAAGAAAGGCTTTTTCATTACGTACGATATATCCTAAAATATCCTCAAGTATAAGTTTAAAACCATTAATATATTGCTGACTTGTCAATATTTTTCATGCGATTTTTCTTTCTTTATGGATCTAAGGTATTGCTTGGAACAAATGCGGGAAGCTTGCCGTTGTGTTTAATTTTTCTGTTGCTTTGAAGTCTAATGAGAATAGTAATATTTTGTTTTAAACGATTAGTCTTTTGTTAATCAATACCAGTTGCACTGCTCAGGAATTGTATATTTCAATGAACCTCATGAACCAGTTGACTTCAGGTAGCAAATTACATCCCACAATTGGCCCGTTCAGATCCAAACTATTGGGCTATGTCAGTGTGTACTGTTGACGGTCAGCGACGATCTTGGGGTGATACTAAGATATCATTTTGCTTGCAGAGTGTCTCTAAACCGTTTACCTATGCTATTGTTTTGGATGAACTTGGTGCAGAAGAGGTTATTGATTGTGATATTTTTTTACTTCAGTTTTTTCGCAGTATGGAATGCTTCGAACGCTGTTTACTGATTTAAAGATTTTCAGGTTCACAAATATGTTGGCCAAGAGCCATCAGGTCGTTTGTTCAATGACATTGCGTTGAATCATAATGGTTAATAGTTTGTTTTTATAGTGAACAGTTTTTGTATGTCACAGTAGATTTCAAATGTAATATAAAAATATTGCCAGCTGAAAACAAATCTGTGCTATATTTCTATGAAAGAGGTTATTGATTGTGATATTTGTTTTTTCGGCTACTTTGAAATGGCACATAGGATCTTAAACATTTTCATAGCATAAAATTTGTTTGATCCATAGTGCAGAAAAATAGAAAAACAAGTAGACTTATGCCAAAAGAAAAGCAAATCATATTTTAGGTCTTAAAGAAATCAAAATGGTTTCTAAGAGTTTGCCCAGACTTAACTGATTTCGTATTGATATTCAAGTGAGGACTGTAAGTGAGAGAAGAAAAATGAAAAATTTGGGTTTCATAGATTTTGATGGACGAAGAAATCAGTGAATTTCAGGCAAGCCGCATAATCCGATGGTCAATGCTGGAGCTATATTAATCGCATCTTTAATGAGGCGTTATGGCACTCTTGCTGACCGGTTTGACTTTGCACTGCAATATTTTAAACGATTTGCTGCTGGTGGTTATGTTGGATTTAATAATGCAGTCTTCCTGTCCGAACGCGATACTGCTGATCGAAACTATGCACTTTCCTATTATATGCGCGAGCATAAATGTTTTCCACCGGATACCAATTTACAAGTTAGATATCAAATTTTTTCTAATTCATATTTCGTGAATAGTTCTCCCGAATCATAGATCTCAGAGAATATACAGTTGGACTCAGCTTTATATGAAATATAATATAAGTTATGTGAGTTCTGGTTATTCCAGTACGATTCATAAGATTTTTATGGTTAGATTTTTCGGGCTTTTACGAAATTTAGTCAAATCAGTATTTTCTTAAAGATACTTTTCTCTGTTTAGGATAACATGGATTTGTACTTCCAACTTTGTTCAATTGAGACAGATGTAGAGACTTTGGCTGTAATGGCAGCTACATTGGCTAATGGTGGTGTGTCACCATTTAGTGAAGAAAGAGTTGTGTGTAACAGAGCAGTACGTGATACGTTATCATTGATGTATTCATGTGGAATGTATGATTATTCTGGTCAATTTGCTTTCAAGGTAACGATGAATTTAATTCTTGATATGTTAGCGGTCTGTGAAGTCGTTTTTATCTCATTTTTCGTTAGCTTCTCGTGTGATGTAATGGAAGATACCTGGATTTGTTGCTGATTTTCAGTGGTTAGTATAGTGCAAGCTTTCATTGCAGGTTGGTTTGCCTGCTAAAAGTGGTGTATCAGGAGACATGATTATTGTCGTACCAAATGTCATGGGTATTTGTCTGTTTTCGCCAGCCCTTGATTCTCTTGGCAATACTGTTCGAGGAGTCAAATTTGCGGAACAGTTTGTGGAAAAATTCAATTTTCACAATTATGATAGTCTTGTAAGTATTTGACTTCTGGTGTTTTATTTATCTAACTTCTACTATGAGATTAATATTCTTAAGAAATCTTTTTAATTCTAATTTACTTAATATTGGAGGTTTATTCTGAGACGTATAAAATTGATCCTCGAAAAAGGATTCGTGAAGCAAGACATGAGTCGGTATCGAACATGATGTATGCCGCAACCAGTGGAGATATTTCGTCTATTCAACGGTCTTTTTCTTTGTTCAATTCTTCTATTTTTTCATCATAGGATTTTATGGTATTTTCATCATTTCTGATTGCTATAGATTAAATTACGTAAAAAAACAATGTGATGTCACCTAGATGTATAATTTTTACTTAAAATTTGAAATTTGTGACTGCGTAGTGGGTTTCAGATATCTTCTTTTGGGCGTTAGCATTTATGAGAGAGATTACGATGATCGAACTGTGTTACATGTAGCTGCAGCACAAGGAAATAATAATGTGCTCAAATTTTTATTGCAGAGATGGTATGAAAATCCTGGTAAGCGGCTTTAGAAGCTCTTATGATTATATATGATATTATAGGAATTGCCTGATATTATACAATACTTTCAAATAATTCACATAATATTTAGGACCACTAGATCGATATGGTCGAACACCGCTTGACGATGCCAAAGAATTTAGTCAAACAAAGTGTGTCGAGCTGTTGGAAGAAGCAATGGAAGATTACGAACTGAAGCACTAAAAAATGCAGTGTGATGGGGAAGCCTACTTTCATAGTTGCACCACATGGAAGCAAGAAGTGATTGTAGACCAATGTGCAATTTAAAGAGTGATCTCGGGTTCGTTAAATTATACTGATATTGAAACGTTTTTTTTAGTCATCATTTCCCTTACTGTACATGAATTTTGTGTATTGTTATGAAAAAAATGCTGTGTCATCTCGAGTCTCACGTTTTCTCCGCCAAATCTGTACGTTTAAAGTATTTTTTTCAATTGCCGCACTCGTGCATTTCAATTATGTGAGAAGCTTCTGAAATGAGCTTGCATAAATAAACACAAATGTGTGGGCAGTCATGAATTCCGTCTTTTTATGAGTAACAATTGTTTATATGCACAAAGGCATGAACTGACGAACGATGTCGAACTTTCTACATTATAGTTGTAAGTAAATCATCATGTAGGTTATGTGCGGCGTGTGATGCTTCGAACTTAAATTCTAGTTTGGGGTAATGACCGTTTAAACTTGCTTATAACTGGAGTTTGTAATTAAAAACTAGTCAAGTATGAATTGGTGAACTAATGGTTTCGATTTTCGCCAGTTCTTTCCGTCTTATCTGTTAGATAAGAAAAATTTCAACACATTATCTGCAGCACTTTTACCACCTTTTTCAGTTATAAATGCCATGAATGAAAGCGACATTTGAAAAAAAATTTGAGTACGTATATGGCCTGCCACAAATGTAACTCTTCAGATGACGATTTCAGCTCTGGGAGCAACTGCTTAATTATGAAGCTCTGTATAATACTATTCTTATTTTTTTATCGAAATAGAATTATTTTTAATTTTATAACACAAATTATCTTTCTCTACAGAGAAAACAACGAAATATGCTAGAAAAGAAAGCAACAAAATAGGCATGTAATAAAAAGATGACCGATGGAATGTGCTGTAGTCATAACTCGTTGCGGACATATTCGACGATTAAACACAGCGCGATCGTACTGGCTAGATTGACCATGCCTACGTTTTGAAAGATTTTTCCAATGATAAGAGTAGTTGTACACGCTGACACTTCTTTCCGGACTATGAGTTGAGAATATATTTGTAGATAGATTTTTCACCAACAACTTCAATACGGTTATCACTTTCCTCTTTCGCTGCTGCTTCATAAACTTTATCCTTCAAAATACTTCCTTATTATCAGTAGCGAATTCAAATTTATATGCTTTTATAAACCAGTTTTTTGAGATGTAACACTGATAAGCCAAAAATAGCAAAGCTCCCTTTGATCAACGTTCTTTTCAACAGTTTTCAACGTAGCTAATTGCTAATACTTACCATTTTGTGAATCAATACGCTTGCTGGGACCCAAACAATGAGAACAACTGCTACAATGATACCAACCAAATTGTCGGAAACAAACTTCCCTATGAACTTCGTTTTTAAAAAATAATCTTAAGGTACAATAAGTTCGTGGAAATAAGAGTTAACTAAAGTTATTCTGAACACTGAAATCAAATCCCAACCAGATTTGAAAATTAAGTTAACCAAATATATCATGTAGGAGAATGCCTTATCTAATAAAGTTATTAAAGGATTTACAAAAATTCGTTTCATCCAGATTTTCGATGATATTCCAGAAATGTGAAACGACATCAGCAACTTCTTTGATACATACAGCCTATAATAATTTTTCATCATAAACTATCTTTTTAAAAACCTAAATATAATTTCGTAGAAATACTGAAGGTATGTCATCCACAATAGAAAAATATTTACAGACATGTACATAAAGAATAATCTCAGTGACTATAGAATTTCTTATCTCTGTCCCACCCACATACAATTTTAAAATTAAAGATCTATAAAATGTTTCATTGTAATCCGTCACGATAGTTTGAAAACGAATCTGAATGAGTCTGAAAAACAAAGCCAAACCCGCGAACATGTGCCATGAATACAACGTGTTCCATCTTTCAACACATACTTCGGATCACGACTATACGGCTCACATGTCCCATTTTCTGATCGACAACAACGTAAGCAAGCAACAGCTTCTGTAAATATCGCATACCATATGTTAGCATTAGAAGTCTTGGCACTTTTTAATTATTAAACATGTAACCATACTGAATCTAAATTTGACAAGGAGAATGCACAGAAAATGTCTCATATATTTAAAAGTGAATTTCCAAATTGAACTTAAAAGTATGATGACTGTTATTATACAGTAAACATACGAAAAGATAGATATGTTCTTAAACGACAGAACTAAGAGATAATTAAATCTAAACAATCTCGATTTATTGAGAAATCTGTTGCAATTTTCTGGAATATTGTAATTTTAATGTCAAAGACCAACCTCTACTACACATACAAGGTTTTTTGTTGACAGAAGGTCTTTCACAGAACGTAAGGCACTGACCATTTAAACATTCCCCATCTTCTATACAAGATGTTCCATCTTCTACAAAACCTGGCTCTGGACACTCACCTGAATTGCCTCTAAAAGGAATAATAGTGCTTCCAAACTGATCCTAGTAATAGATTCTTAATAACATGAAACTGGGGCTCTTTGCATGAATCGACCCTTGATATCATTTTATTTATTTTTTACATTCTATGCGAAATATTTTCATATCAACAAACTAACGTGCAGTATGAAGAAAGCTTGCACTGAAATCGATTTTCATGGAGACAAAGATGCGTTGAAGGAAGAAACTGACAATCACTAGAGCAACAGGGACTATTTTTTGGTGAACAGATTGCATTTGGTTTAAGACGACAATCTGATGTGCAACATCTGAAAATTTGTTGACAACTTTATTCCATGCATAAATAGGTCAACTAATCATGGAAAAGGCTTGAGAAAAAATGTGCATAAAAAAAGTCGATATTGAACAATTTTTTGATGTACAATGATTGATACAAAACTTCAACATTCAATTAATTTTCGCTAAAAGAAAATAAAAAACGAAATTCATATTTGTGAAGCTGAATGAAAAAAATGAGACAAGTTTAATTAACCAACTTATCAACAGTTTCTGATATTAAACCACCAACATCGCATTCTTCTGCAAAACCATCAGTACTTACTTCAACTCTACCATTACCACAAAAGGCACTCATTTCAGGCTCAAAACAAATATCAGCTTTTCGTGATAGAACTTTCCCAATCAGACGACGTGAGCAAGGTGAAAAATGCTAAAGATAATTATTAAATAAAAGAACGAAAAATTGAAGTATTTCGTGCTCTTTATATATGGTTATTAGTTTTATACATTAAGCTAGATTTGCATAATTTTTATTTGTTCTAACTTGACATTTGTAAAGTCAATTTTGCGAAATTAATGCAGTGAGATAGTGAATTCCAAATGTAAGGACTAGAAATGAAAAAAGTATTAGAAATTCTGATTACTAACATTATTATTTTCATCATATCCAGAGACGGAAAAAGTATTCATGATATAAGAGCCACCTGAACCATATGGTGGTGAACATTCCAATGACATATCATCGTGTGTAGCACCCCAATTATGGCCCAATTCTGGAACCAATAAAAGTAGTGAATTAAAAGCAGCTATTTATTGAGTGAGATTGAGATCTTGACAGAATTTTCGTTTAACTTTAGTTAAGTTTCTTTCTGTGAGCTTCTGTTTAAGAAGAAATAAGAACTTATGGTACGTAATTTGTTTATTCACTCATGTTAATGTGGAAACAAATCAACTGCTAGTAATGAAAAATTGATGAGTATTTGTAAGACTATCACTGAATTTTTTTAATATCACTAAAACATATTCGTGCATTATCAACAGCAAAACCAGGCCACAGTTTAAGTCTGTCAAGGAAGTGAAGTCAGGAAAATAACTTTACCATCACGATGTTTCTATTCTTAATTTGCAACTTTCCTAGAATTTTTTTAAGAACTTTAAAAAATACCATGAGCAGTCACAATATCCGCCTCACGCGATACTACTGTTCCACCATGAGTAGCTTTTGTACTTGAAAGAGCGGTATTGTAATATACCACACCCAAGCGATCTCTGTTCTAGAAATTTCATAACAAAACTTGACAATCTCTGTTAAGTGTGAAGTGTTTTTTTGCTTGCTACACATCATCTCCGAAATACAAAAACAGAACAAATATGAAGTTTCGGAATTATACTTCCCAACTTCAGCTTCAGTTCACATTACTACCAGTTGAAAGTCACTGTTCTGCAACCATATCTGTATTTTTGTGGAAAGATGTTTCAAACAGCTGTTTTAGAATAAAATCGTTTTAGTTAATTTTTTTCAATGGGAAACTATAACCGTCGCCGACCTGTACTGAACAAATTCCACCAGCTGCATTAAGCTCAGGTGATGAGATATAAGCCAAACCTAGGACTCCGTTTTCGAATGATTGGGCTGTAAATAGGTGAACAAGGCAATACTTATCAGATCCTTGTATTCGAGAAAAATTCTGAAACAACTAGTTAATTCATTACACTAGAAAATGCATGGTGAGAGAATCAAAACATTAAAGTATCTAGAGCATTTACTGTGAAAATATGCTGTTGATTTTCTGATACTGCGGTGACAAAAACCTCACTTATTCTTATATACATTGGAATATTCAAAGATTTTCTCTCCTACTTCTCCATCTTCCAATTTGTTTGTTTTATTAAAAAAGCACAGGAACATCTTTTTTCTAACTACTAGAAAAAATTAATGCAAAGTGCTAACATCAAGTACTGCTTTAACACTGCGCTTCACGTTACTAACAGAATTATAATGATTAGGTTGATCGACAGTTGGTGACGTATGGATTATCATTTCTTTTATCATAAAACCCATATTGATTAATCGTCGGCCATCTTCATCTATGCCCCAATCTGTTGTTGTATAAAGTGCATTAACACGATCGATTACGTTAATCTGCAAATCTGTTATCAGCAAATATATGAACAGGATGAGTAAAATATTTTGACATATTACTAGAAATAAAATTATTTAGAAAAAATCTAAATATACTGTCGTCCAATTAATATGATATTTAAAAAAATTTTGTTTTGCGGTGATAAATTTAATTTACAGTTTAGAGCAGCGTAATTTGTTCAATTAACTAGCACATAAAATGTAGAATAGAAAACAGTAGATTAGAAATATCGACAAAAAACTTAGTGGTACGTATAAAACTTCAAAACATACCAGATATCTAGCAGAGAATGCTTGACTGCCATTTCCAATTGTTTTGAAAAATTGGTAATCAGCGACGACACGCAAAGCACATCTAAAATATTAGTTGAAAAACATTTTTGTAATTAAGAGAGTATGTGAGGTTCGCCAGAAAATCTATGGTATGTACCTGTTCTTTAGTACTGGTGGCAGCAATATTTGTCGTTTACTTCGCGTCGATTTCAGATTTGATACGTTATTTTGATTTCCTAATGATATCGCTGAACAAAATGACCCATTACTACTAGTAATATATTTCATTTTCAAATCCGAATTTCGATATGCCAATACTTCCCATGGTTGTGCGTTTTTCTAATAATAGAATAAAACACAAATATTGCTTAAAAAGCTATGACATTAAAAAAATTAAAGTTTCAATGAATAGATCAATTACTATCAAGATCTTAAGACCTTATAATTTTGTTAATTCTGCGTGCAATAACGTTGCATTATTTGTCAGTACTTTGCTTATTCTTCACTTTACATCATTTTAATGAAGTAATATATTTTCTTTACCTTATCTATATAAAAAACAATCAAATTTCATTGCACTTAACATTTAGCATTACGTATTGGAAAAAAATTACGAAATGAATTCTTGCAGGTTCAAAGATATACAAATCGCCAGCAACCCATATAATGCCAAGTAAAGAACCTTCATCATCGTATGTAAGTGATACTATAGAATCAGTAGCACCTTCACAAGACCGAAAAAAGTACATCAATAGGATAGTTAGATTATGATTGAAAATACAGAAAGCAGAACTCTCAATGATCGATAGATAATTTAACTTAATTGCTTTGTAAAGTTTTCTGTAGAAAATGGAAAACATACTGCATGATGCGCTCCTATTTTAAATATTAAATAATCACCATGGATATGACCACCGAAATGGTCATCAGGATTAACTGTACATAACTTTTCAAAGCCATAGCCGTCAACTTCTCGACACTTGAAATTCCTATGAAGAAGGCCTTTCTTCGGTGTGAGATATATATCAAAAAGGCGATTGAAAGCTCTAGAACTGCTCTCGATTAATTCAAATTTTTAGTTAGTAAAGTGATGTTCTCAACAAAAAAATTTAACTAAAACTGATAATGTTCTCTAAAACTAAAACAAAGCAATATTTTAAAAGTAAAATACAATTCGATTTTTTGAAAAATGACATGGCAACTAAAAAATATTGGTTTAAGGAGCACCTGAAAATCAGTCGTTCTTGTTTGTTGTATGGAACATTAATGTCAACAATCCCTCGTTTTTCGAGTCTTCGATTTATCTTGATGATTTCATAGTACTTCAATCGATTACTCAAATCCGTATCATCTCTACCTTGAAAATCTTTATAATTACCGGTTTTCACATGCGACACAATGCAATAAAGTTAAAATCTCAGATAAAAACTTCTATTTCATTTGTTTTTCAATTCAAATAGAGAAAATCGTAATTTAAATGAAAAAACTTTCGGTAATTTAAATATAAGTTGATGAATAACCTTTTGTATCTTCAACACAAAAGCCTATTCGTATATCATTACTTATTTTATACCTTACTAAATTATATATGTACGATAACTTATAACAATATTACCAAAAGGAAATCCTCCACATTTTGATGAACTGGTATATAACAGCAAATAGAAGAAAACGGCAATCAGCCTCCAAAACAACGTCATTATGAAACTTACGCATGTGTTCACGAAGTGAGCCAATTTTGATCTTAAAATTTATACAAACATTGCAGCAATCATCTTTTCACAACGATCCTTTTAGTCGTAAGAAATCTATTTCAATTCTTTACCAATTAATATACTAACAACATCTTAACTATTTATAATCAGAAAGTCATCCTAATAGATCGTTTCTGTGAAAGTACAATGAGTAGATAATAATTCAGTCCACTTTTCACGAATTAAATGAGGATTCATGTTTACGTCTGGACATGAATTTCTTGCAGTAAAGCTTGTCTCTGACAAACTGAGCGACGTTTTCAACGCCACTTCCATCAAGTAATCATTCACGTTAAATTATACAAGACAATATCATAAGATACTTCAATATGAATGCTTGATAAGATAAATAAGTCACACTTTAGTCATGACATAAGCATACACAAACATGGAAATGAAATGACAATATCATGAAAACTGAATTAAAAACTTAAAAATTAAGTAAAAAAATACATAAAACTGAAATGATTTATTTATCGGGTCGTTCGTATTGATCACTAAGACGTAGACAGAGTGACTCATCAAATGAAAGGAATGGATGACGCAATTCCGAAAGAATGTTCTCGAAAAGGAGTTGAAGATACTGTAATGTAAAGAGAGTTACGAACATTATCACTGATCTGAAAAAAGGGAAGATCACACATGCAAGAAATAGCAAGTAAAATAGAGAGACGGCGATGGAAAGGAATGCAAACACATGAATGAATACCACGTGGCGTAACAAGTTGAGGTAAAAAGTTGTAATTGTAATAGTTATGCAATGTTAAATGAGTATTGGTTCAAAAATACAAAAATTAATCATAGCTGAAAAGTTATGATCAATCAGAATTATCTAATCAACTAACAAACCTTGTAATCCAAATTATTTATCCCTCGAGTATGAATGCATCACACACGTGAACAGTGAGGAAGAAATGCTGATTGCTCTAAAAAACGTCGTCTACGCATAGACAAAAATTTTCCAACTTCCACGTATATTCTCATATTAATTACACGTCCCCCTCCAATCCTTATGTAATCATTGATAAGCAGCAAACCTCTTACATTTATGGTTCACATGAAATTATTTAAAATTAAAGGTCTTAAATGGAATGTTTGTTCGTGATTCTTGATTTTTATCGTCCTTTCCAACTTCTATCTCGGTTTTAAATTTATTTCTGCCAATATATTATTGTTATCATTCCTTTGTTATTTATTTATTTTTCATTTTGTTTTAATCAATTTTCATTAAGCTAATTTATTTGCAAATATTTGACCTTTATCGCCTAAAAAAGTTATCTTTTCGCTAATTATTTTGCATGTTTTATTTTTATGAGAAGAACTTTAAGAATACTTACATAACTAATTTAAAATAGCTTTTAAATTAGATCTAATTTTGATTCATTTTTTACTTGGCTAGTATTTACTTAGTTTATACAATTGCTTACAAAACAATTCAAACATTCTTTCAGTCAACTTCTATTTTTCAATTTTATTAATTTTCAGCATTCTAGTCTTTGATTTTGGAAATATGCTTAATACAACCACTGTAGCGGATGTCCCGCATATTCCACAGGTTGATATGATCAGCGCAACAAGCAAGTTGCAGTTAGAAGCAGCTGATGTTCGTAATAACAAACCTAATTGGAATTCGTATCTAAGGTTATTTTATGAAGTTTGCATAGAACTCCTGTTTTTTGCTGTATGGTATAAAAAAATGTTCTATGTCATTTTATCTGTTTGTACTTTATACATATATTAGTTTGAATTGACAAAAATAATATGCATTATTAAAGATTTTCTTTTATTTCTTTTTTTAGATTTACAGTCATTAACAACTTTTACAGTCTTGTTCGCTGCATTTTACGCTTTAGTGTAAATGACTTTTTTTTTGGTACTTTTACTTTATTAGTGAGGACATTCAAAAAATTATATGGCGAGAGAGCATGTAGCAATGCTCATAAAAGAGCTGGAAAAGTAATTTATTTATGATTTATTGCGTAATTTATTAAGGAAATTTGTAGAAGTCAGATGATTGCTCAAGAAGATTACAATTTCATAACAGCTTATGAAGCAACAAAAACAAAACAAGATCGCGATATTTTGCTACAGAACAATAAAGCAGAATGCGCAAGAACTATGATTATTTTCATTACTACTGTAGCTAAAGATCAGAACGTTCGTTATGTCCTCACACTGTTGGATGATATGATTTTGGTCTGTTTGTCGCTGTTTTCCTCATGAGCATTTTTGTTTATTCAGTTTCCAAGTCGATAATTTGTAAATGAATTAAATTTATAGCCATAAGATGAATGCGTTCACTTTTTAATCTTGCTTGGTATAATGCCTAAATTTATTAATATCAATTTAATTTATGCGTTTAATTGTTATTATGCGTTTAACCATGTCTACTTCAAGCAATGAATCGAATCACCGTCTGATTTTTCCATGACTTTATACGAACAAAGTAGTTTGTCATCCTAATCATTTATGTTTTTTAGGATGTATTATTTAAAAGTCAGTTTCAAATACATGATCATACGTGATTGGGTGATTGTAAGTGTAACTGTTCACTGAAAAAAATGGCTTTAATGAAGTCTTGTAATTAACCATATCTGCAACTTTTTGTTTAGGTTCACAGTAAATATATGAAATAGATGGTCTATTTTAGGAAGATAGATCTCGTGTAGAGATTTTCCACAGTTATGCTCGAAAACAAAAACGTACGCCATGGTCATGGTTTCTGAGTATTTTGCAACGTCAAGATGCATTTACCATTAATCAGGTTTATACTGCATATTAATTTAACAATTTGTAATTTGATTTCATAAAATTGTGTAGTTATAATGAATAAGAAATTGCATTTTTCCATAAATATTTTTAATAAATAGAGTAAATGCTGTAATGGTACACATCTCTGCAGATGTCATCAGTTCTTGCAAAATTTGCTTGTTTTGGCTCAGCACTTATGGAAGGTTCGGATTTAAACTTTTATATTTCATTTCTGAAAGACCAGTTAAAATATCCTGGTAATGAATATATCAGTACAACTGCACGTTGTTTGCAAATGATGCTTCGGATCGATGACTACCGTCTAGCGTTTGTTGCATCGGATGGTATAACAAGGTTACTTTTAGTTTGCTGGAGTTGTGAAGAATGAATCTTATTTCAAGAAAAAAATTAAATTGTATCTAAGAATATGGCTGTTTTCAGATGTTCAAATAAATAGTGTATTCTATTTCACCGCAAAAGTATGAATATTTTATCTATATTTTTGTGTTAAACAAAAATTTTTTAAAATGTGTTGCAGGTTTTTGTTGCTTGGAATCCACGATTATTTAAATACGTAAAATCGTACTGGACAGTCGTTTCTAGTTTATTTATTTTAATTTGAATGTCTTAGTTATAGGTGCATTTTTTGTTTTCGTCACCTTTTGATGTGTTGATTGAAGTTTAGTTACAGATATCTTAAAGACGATGAATAAACTTGCTCGAAAGCGGGACAAAAACCTTTGAGTTTTCATTTGCTACGATTTCTAAACATCAAGACAGATATGAAAAATTTTTAGTATATTATCAACGCTAAGTGGTAAAACTAATTTCCAACTTCAATATCAACTGATCTTTTCATTATGGTGCCTTACATTCAACCCAGTTATAGCAGAAAAGTTTCCTCGTAGTGGTGCTATTCAAGTTCTCGGTGATATTCTTTCAGAGTCTAGCAAAGAAAAGGTAAAACTTAAATAAATTAAATTTAAAAACCTTTTCAATTTTTTATCTGGTCACATTATTTCGCCATCCATTTTGTTTCCTTTAAAACTTCAATATCTTTATAAGCTTCGCATTTTTTTAGTTAATAATACTTGTCATAGGTGATACGTATTATTTTGGGAACATTCCGAAATATTCTCGAAAAGATAGATGATCGTGATCTTGAAAGAGAGGCAGCTTTACAAATGGTGCAATTTAAAACTTTGAAAACTCTGGAGTTAATGGATTCCAAAAAATTTGATGATGCTGAACTGCAGGATGATGTAGAATTTTTGAGCGAAAAGTTACACTCTTCAGTTCAAGATCTATCGTCTTTTGATGAGTATGTGTCCGAGGTATGAATAGTGAATCATCATGGCTAGGCTATTGTATTGTTGTGTATTGGAAATGTAAAGTGTTTTAGTTTTTTATATCCCATTTTGTATCTTAAACGATGAGGTTTTTGTGAAATTGATGCCTAATTTTGATGTCTTCTTTAGGTAAAATCAGGCCGATTACAGTGGAGTCCTGTCCACAAGTCAGAAAAATTTTGGAGAGAAAATGCTCAAAAATTCAATGAGAAAGATTTCGAGCTCTTGAAGTAAGCCAGATGAATAATATAATATTATTAGCAATTCTGCATAAGATTTATGTTTCTGCATTTTATTTCTACTTTTCAGAATTTTGATAAAAATCTTAGAAATGCAGTCCGACACATTAGCTCTTTGCGTTGCGGTTCATGACATTGGAGAATACGTAAGGCATTACCCAAGAGGAAAAAAGTTTCTTTTCATACCTTATTATGTAAACAATTTTTTTTGTATTCACTTTTAGTTTTCATTTTTTTATATTTCATTATATATCATATACAAAAATACAAGTACTTTTTGCATTCCAGCAAGATTGAGCAACTTCAAGGTAAACAGGCCGTGATGAAACTACTTTCTGCGGACGATCCAAATGTGCGATATCATGCATTACTTGCAATTCAAAAATTAATGGTTCATAATTGGGAATATCTTGGCAAGCAATTAGATGCTGATCATGAAGCTGCTATAGTTCAGTAACTATGTAAAAATATATAAATGAGATTTGTAAGTTATTGCTTAAAAAGTTTACTATGATGCTTTTGCTGGTGCAGTAGATTTAGAATTATAAGAGACGGGATCATAGTTTTTATGTCGGGTGCTCCTAAAGTTTCTTCTGCGCTATGTAGAAGGACAGTGCATTCCCTTCGTAACTTTGTAAGCAATGATTAAAAATATGTATGTTCAAGAAACATTTCCTGTCCATCAGTGAAATAAATTTATGACAGCTTTCGATGGTCATCAGAGCAGAAGGAAAATGTATTCAACAAGTTTCCATCTCTCTTTTACTGGTCGTAGTCCCAAATAATTTAAATTAGTAAAGTCGAGCTGTCAATATAAATTAACTTACAGCAAGTTCCGATGTGTTATATAAATTTGTTGTAATCGGATGCTAGTACTTAATTTATAACTACTTGAAAAATTTTTATAAGTCCAAGAAGGAAGCTTTACAAATTCAGTAAATCTTTCACATCGCTGTCCTGTTCTAATCTGTTACTTCTACAGTGTAATTAATACTTCTTATCTCATTGTGCGTTATCACTTCAGAGTACCGATCTAGTAAACAATAAGTGTCTATATGAAAATGCCATCTCTCCACATTATCTCGCCTATGGCAATGTAGAATCTATTCCTCTTTTGGTCAAAAAATCTTATTTCCTGTTCGAATCTAGTGATCGTTTGTGGTTCATTTATATTAATTTGGTTGTGACGTACATTTTAACCATTCCATAATTCTTTTCGTACTGTTCGTCTTATTTGAAGGAAATTGATTGTAACCAGTTCAAGTATATATCACTAATTTCTATGAGTAAATGTGAAATTTGTTGGTACTATCTAATCAACCCGTACAATAAAAATTTTTGATAACATAAACGACAACGTTAATTTACTTTCTAGCTGGCAAAAATGTCATTTCAATAATCTACGTGCAAGGGACACATGCATCCATGTTGTCAAGATATCAGAACGAAGATTCTTAATGACGAAACTATGAAGGTTACGAGCTGCCAGATGTATAGCTCAACTTTGTGTATCAGACCAACCATGGTATTCAAACACTGCATAAAGCCCAAATCTAAGGATAAATAATTGAAATTCTCACAAACGGACTTCTCATGACTTTACAAGATGCTGCATTTGTTTTCAGAACAACATGCATTTCCTTAGATTTATGTCACATGAAAACATGTGAAGAAGGAAACTCCGTTTCCTTCTTCTCCATTTTTTGTA